TTCAGAGTAGCAGCCGTGTTAGTCTGTATCCGCAAAAAGAACAGGAGTACTTGTGGCACCTTAGAGACTAACAAATTTGCATCCGAAGAAGTGGGCTGTAGCCCACGAAAGCTTATGCTCTAATAAATTTGTTAGTCTCTAAGGTGCCACAAGTACTCCTGTTCTTTTTATAATGTAGATAGCTCACAGCAGCAAGGAAGTGGAAAAACCGGTTTCCCCAACAGCCAGGATATGTTTATCACCCTGGACCTGGAACCAGTAACCCCTGAACTCACCCAAGGCATGCTCCCAGAGGGCACACAGGGGACCTCTGGTGAGTGTACCTTTGTAAATATTACACATGGTTTAAAAGCAAGCGTGTTTAATGATTAATGATTAATTTGCCCTGGCAATTGCGGCCAGTACAGCTACTGGAATAGTCTGTTAACGTGTATGGGGATGGAGCGGAAATCCTCCAGGGACATCTCCAGAAAGCTCTCCTTCATGTACTCCCAAAGCCTTTGCAAAAGGTTTCTGGGGAGGGCTGCCTTATCCCGCCCGCCATGGTAGGACACTTTACCACGCCAGGCCAGTAGCACGTAGTCTGGAATCATTGCATAACAAAGCATGGCAGCGTATGGTCCCGGTGTTTGCTGGCATGCAGACAACATCCATTCCTTATCGGTCTTTGTTGTCCTCAGGAGAGTGATATCATTCACGGTCACTTGGTTGAAATGGGGCGATTTTATTAAGGGGACATTCAGAGGTGCCCCTTCCTGCTTTGCTGAACAGAAATGTTCCCTGCTGTTAGCCACGCGGTGGGGGGAGGGGTGAAGTGATCATCCTAGAGAATTGGGTGTGGGGGGGAGGGGGGTTAGTTGGGTTTGTGCTGCATGTTAACCCGGAAACCGCAGCCCCTCCTTTTACATTGCAAACCCATTTTAAATGGCCAACCCAAGGGGTGCTTGGTATGGGAAATGAGGGCGCTAATGTTTGAAACCATTCCCACATGTTAAGAAGGTTAAAAAAGCCAAAAGACTGTGGCTTACCATGGCTGCCTGCAAGCCGAAATCTGTTGCCTGGCACTGCGTGAGTGATCTCTCACACCAAACCGGCAGGCCCTCAATATAAGAGGAAAAATGCGACCTTGTAACGAAAGCACATGTGAACAGCAAAATTTAACGTGAAAGAGTGTACCCATTGTTCTCTAAAATGTGTCTTTTTTAACCACCTCTCCCTTCTCCTCCACCAGCTGCAAATGTTTCTCGTTCACATAGGCTAGTGAAGATTAGAAGGAGAAAACGGCGGACTCGGGATGATATGTTCTCGGAGCTCCAGATGTCCTCCCATGCTGACAGAGCACAGCAGAATGCGTGGAGGCAGTCAATGTCAGACTACAGAATAGCACAATATGAACGAGAGGAGAGGTGGCGGGCTGAATCGCGGGATGAACAGAGCAAGTGGCGGGCTGAAGATGATAGGTGGCGTCAGCTTGCAGACAGAAGGCAAGAGTCGATGCTCCGGCTGCTGAAGCATCAAACTGATATGCTCCAGCGTATGGTTGAGCTGCAGGAAAGGCAGCAGGAGCAGAGACCGCCGCTACAGCCCCTGTGTAACCAACAGCCCTCCTCCCCAAGTTCCATAGCCTCCTCACCTCGATGCCCAAGAACACGGTGGGGGGGCCTCCGGCCACCCAGTCACTCCACCCCAGATGATTGCCCGAGCATCAGAAGGCTGGCCTTCAATAAGAGTTAAAGTTTTAAACTGCAGTGTGTCCTTTTCCTTCCCTCCTCCCCCACCCATCCCAGGCTTCCTTGGCAATTATCCCCCTAGTTGTGTGATGAATTAATAAAGAATGCATGAATGTGAAGTAACAATGACTTTATTGCCTCTGCAAGCGGTGCTCGAGGGGGGGCGGTTGGTTTACAGGGAAGTAGAGTGAACCGGGTGGGGGGGCGGAGGGTTCATCAAGGAGAAACAAACAGAAGTTTCACACCGTAGCCTGGCCAGTCACAAAACGCGTTTTCAAAGCTTCTCTGATGCGCACCGTGCCCTGCTGTGCTCTTCTAACCGCCCTGGTGTCTGGCTGCGCGTAATCAGCGGCCAGGCGATTTGCCTCAACCTCCCACCCCGCCATAAATGTCTCCCCCTTACTCTCACAGATATTGTGGAGCGCACAGCAAGCAGCAATAACAATGGGGATATTCTTTTCGCTGAGGTCTGAGCGAGTCAGTAAGCTGCGCCAGCGTGCTTTTAAACGTCCAAATGCACATTCCACCACCATTCGGCACTTGCTCAGCCTGTAGTTGAACAGGTCCTGACTACTGTCCAGGCTGCCTGTGCACGGCTTCATGAGTCATGGCATTAAGGGGTAGGCTGGGTCCTCAAGGATCACGATAGGCATTTCAACATCCCCAATGGTTAGTTTCTGGTCCAGGAAAAAAGTCCCTTCCTCCAGCTTTCGAAACAGACCAGAGTGCCTGAAGACGCGAGCATCATGTACCTTTCCCGGCCATCCCACGTTGATGTTGGTGAAACGTCCCTTGTGATCCACCAGGGCTTGCAGCAGCATTGAAAAGTACCCCTTGCGGTTTATGTACTCGGTGGCTTGGTGCTCCGGTGCCAAGATAGGGATATGGGTTCCGTCTATCGCCCCACCACAGTTTGGGAATCCCATTGCAGCAAAGCCATCCACTATGGCCTGCACGTTTCCCAGAGTCACTACCCTTGATATCAGCAGGTCTTTGATTGCCCTGGCAACTTGGATCACAGCAGCCCCCACAGTAGATTTGCCCACTCCAAATTGGTTCCCGACTGACCGGTAGCTGTCTGGCGTTGCAAGCTTCCACAGGGCTATCGCCACTCGCGTCTCAACTGTGAGGGCTGCTCTCATCCTGGTATTCTGGCGCTTCAGGGCAGGGGAAAGCAAGTCACAAAGTTCCATGAAAGTGCCCTTACACATGCGAAAGTTTCGCAGCCACTGGGAATCGTCCCACACCTGCAAGACGATGTGGTCCCACCAGTCTGTGCTTGTTTCCCGGGCCCAGAATCGGCGTTCCACGGCATGAACCTGCCCCAGTAACACCATGATTTGCACATTGCTGGGGCCTGTGCCTTGTGAGAGGTCTATGTCCATGTCAATTTCCTCATCACTCTTGTCGCCGCGCTGCAATCGCCTCCTCGGCTGGTCCTGGTTTTGCTTTGGCACGTCCTGGCTCTGCATATACTCCAGGACAATGTGCGTGGTGTTCATAGTGCTCATAATTGCCGCGGTGATCTGAGCGGGCTCCATGATCCCAGTGCTATGGCATCTGGTCTGAAAAAAGGCGCGAAACTAGTATCTGATGGACGGAGGGAGGAGCGAGTGACGACATGGCGTACAGGTACAGGGAATTAAAATCAACAAAGGTGGCTGTGCATCAGGGAGAAACACAAACAACTGTCACACAGAATGGCCCCCCCAAAGATTGAACTCAAAACCCTGGGTTTAGCAGGCCGTTGCTTTCACGGAGGGAGGGGGAAGCAAATGAATACAGAACAAATCTATTTTTTACATCTTAAGCTGGCAGACGATGGTGCAGCATGACTGATAGCCCTCGGCATCTTCTGGGTGCTTGGCAAAAAATACTGGGCGCTTGGCAGAAAATAGCGTACTACGACTGATAGCCATCATCGTCATTGGGAAGGCAGCGACTGGGGGACATACGGAGTTTTAGCCACTGCAGTACGACGACGGATACCAGTCATAATACACCATCTTCTACCAAAAGGCAAGGGGCTGCTACTGTGTAGCAATGCAGCCCCACGTCTGCTAGCACCCAGATCACCGATGAAGGCTACCAGTCATACTGCACCGTCTACTGCCAAAAGGCAATTAGCTGCTGCTGTGTAGCAATGCAGTACCACGTCTGCCAGCACCCAGATGACATATGGTGACGGTGAGCTGAGCTGAGTGGGCTCCATGCTTGGCGTGGTATGTTGTCTGCAGGTAAAAAGGTGTGAATCGATTGTCTGCTGTTTCTCTGACGGAGGGGGAGGGGCCTGATGACATATACCCAGAACCCCCCGCGACACTGTTTCGCATCATTCAGGCGTTGGGATCTCAACCCAGAATTCCAATGGGCGGCGGAGACTGCGGGAACTGTGGGATAGCTACCCATAGTGCAACGCTCTGGAAGTCGACGCTAGCCTCGGTACTGTGGACGCGGTCCGCCGACTTAATGCACTTAGAGCATTTTATGTGGGGACACACATAATCGGCTGTATACAACTGATTTCTATAAAACCGGCTTCTATAAATTCGACCTAATTTCGTAGTGTAGACATACCCTAAGTATCTGTGCAGTACCCAGCACAATAGGGGGCTGTGGATGCTACAGCTGTCTGCACACACCCTATCCTATTGCAAGTAAATAACCCAGTTTATAGGCAAGAGAAGGGTCCCGAATCCACCAAGTCTGAGGTGTTTCTAGAGTTGCCAACCCTCCAGGACTGGCCTGGAATCTCTGGATTATGTCATGAAACCTCCAGGAATAAATCCAACACAAATTGGCAACCCTCCCTGGTTCATATCCTACAGAGCCCCCTGCTGTATAAGGGTCAGCTCCAGAAAGCCTGGGGAAACTCTTCTCAGCCGTGGCTGAGACTTTTCCTTGCCTAGGGCAGCCCTGGTGGTTCCGGAGGGTTGAGAACTTGGGCCCAGGCTGGCTGCGGACTCAGCTGCTTCGGCCTAGCGGCGCTGCAAGGCTCCCGATCTGGGGGGCTTTAAACCAGAGCGAGCCAGGCAGACTGCAGCCGCGTTCGCACTCGTGTGTGTGTGTGAGAGAGAGTCGCGGCTGCGCCCCCTGCAGGCCGCGCCGCGCAGCTGCTGCCGAGGCGGAGAGGTTATTTGTGGTTAGCTTTGATCCCGGGGGAACCTGAAACTCTCGCATTCCTGGCATAGCAGCCTCTCGCGCAGCCCGGCCTCCTTGGCTCTCATTACAGCTGGCGGGGGCCGGCGAGGCGCTCAGTGCCTGCCAGCAGCCGCGGGGGCAGGATCTCTGCGAGCTGCACGCACACAGCGAGCCGGCCGGGCGCGGAGCGAGCCTCTCCTCCCTTGGCGCTGCAGCAAGGCTGCTCTGCTTCGGTGAGTTCCGCTCCGGGCTCCCATCTCCGCGGTATCTGGGCCCAGAGGGGAGATCTCCGACTCCCCTTCCCTGGCTCGCTGGTGTCACTAATTCGTGCCGCTTCGGGTTGGGAACGCTGCGCTCCCTGCGCGTCAGCCTGCGGGGTCCCCCCTTTCCATCGCTCTGGCTCCCCACATTCCCCTGCAGCGTGTGACCCGGGATTCCTGCAAGTCCCCGGGAGCGCCTGGGTTGTGACCCATAAGAAGCAGAGTGGGGGTGAGTAGGACTTTGCTGGGCTCGTTTGCAGTCACAGGTGCTTGTGCCCCCAGCTAGTTGAAGAATTCTCTTTGTCTTGCTCGGAAAATGCTTTCCGCAGCCATGAGCTCGTTCTCACTTAGAAGGAATGTTAATTGCAATCCAAACCCGGGTGATGTCAGTGCTGAACGATTTGGAAAACAAAGCGGCAGCAAGGCAGGGTCCTAGCACTGCTCTGCAGATGGCAATTGCTGAACGCGCTCTGGGTGCGTTAGTTCTACCCAGTGGGTTTGGAAAGGCGAGAAAGGGGGTTTTCCCATGGGGGGCTGCCACAGAAATGTCTCCCTGTTGTAGCGTCCCAGCCGGTTGGAGTTTTCCAGGGAGATCTTCTGGGTTGCAAACCCTTGTTCTTTTACTGGATCGCCTTTGAACCTGCTAGAATATGTCAACTGGAGTTTGTCTTTTTTTCTTTTTTCTTTCTTTTTTTTAAACGATCCTCGCTTATTTGATGCCGCTCATTCAAGTTATGCTGAGTGCCATTAAAGGGAATTTCTTGTGACTGCAAAATTAAAGAAATTTATAAAAATATGGGAGGGGAATAAAGAGATGCAACCATATTAAAAAAACAATTGGGGCTGGGGATCCAGGAGTGAAAAAATCCCTGATAGTAAAAGGTTGAAGAGCACATATGGTAGGGGTGGGGTGAGGAATGTTCTCTCCACCTTCCTAGCTATCTAGTCATGCTCCCTGACCCAATATTTCAGACTTCCTCCTTGTGAGAACGCACCAGGGCTTGTGAAACTGAAGGGGATGTGTGGTTCTTTTATTTTGATTCACCAAAGGCAGTCTGGGGTTAGCTTTAAATCTGAGGTCTGAGTCAGCGTTGAAATGAGGCTCAGGAAAGGTAGTCTGTTTAGAGTTTCCTAATTTCACCTTCAGGGAAAATCTGGTCAAGAACTTTTTGTGTTGGGAGCCAATATTTGAGGTATGTTTGTATGAAGCAATATGAGATTAGCAATCTCCCTTTGCCAACCCACATGCATTAGCATGAGACTAGAAACAGGTGATCAAATGTCTACTTAGGAATTCACTTGCTTTAAAGTTTGAGTGCAGAGGAGGGCATGCAATTTAAAAACAGTGATATAACTTCCCTGGCTAGCATCCCTCTTCAATAAATTACTAGCCATACATAAACCTGGGCTACAGCTGCAGTTTCTGATTGCCAGGGACAGCAAAAAGGTTATGAGAATGTTTTTAAGGTCTACCCCCACATTGGTGTCTCCAGGCATGGCTGATTCATTAAGATAAGTGTTTTATATTTAAAATTTCAGTAGATGTATGAAAAGCATGTGTGCATACATACATAAAACGCCATAACAATGTAGATGATTAAAACTGAAATAATCTTGAAAATCAGGATTATTTTATGTGACTTTTCACTATGAAGCTTTTATTATATTTTGCGATCCACTGGTGCAATGACAATAGATGAGCCCTTTTCACTTTTGAGTCAATTTCACTCTCTTTCAGGATCATAATGTTGCAATGTTTGCAAATTGGGGGGGGGGGTATGATTATTTGTTTAAAACAATTAGATCCTATGGGAATTGTTCAAGATTGTATCCATTAAACATTTCTTGTTGATTATAGGTTTTGTAGGAGATTCCATTTACAAATTCTATGTGTTGTGTCAAATTTGACACGTCTCCCTTCTTTAAGGAGACGGAAAGTACTGGAAACTGAAATCCTCTTGCTTTGTGGACTGTAGCTGTTGTCCTGCAGGTTATACAGGAACTAGGAACATTCTCTGCCAGTGTAACTTGGGCTCGCCAAGTCTAGGATATTTTGTGTAATGGTGGATTGAGCTCAAAGCACCGTCTTCATTACACTTAACAGAACTTCTTCCCTGTCCCCGCAATCAAAGCTAGACTAACAGGAGTCTCACTTACTAAAAGTTCTGCATTGGCCTACTATTTTGGGTGATGAGTTTGGCTCTGTTCAGTGGACTGAATGAATTTCTTAGACAGCAGTCACAGCTTTCCCCTTGGCTACCTCGCCTGGCACATGTAGAGAGACACGCGCACTAAGTGAACCAAATAAAGGGGTTCTGACTGCACAAGTTACTAGGATCCTGTGACCTGTCTTTCCAGAGCAGTAAATCAAGTTATGCAGAACAGTCACGCTGAATCTCAAATGCACTCATGCTAAGCCCAGGTGCTGAGGCCATTCACCCCACTGGGAAGCCAGCAGAGATCCCCACGGCTGACATTCCTCACTCCCCACCAAGAGCTGCCCCCTTTAGGGCACTTAAGATGAGATGGGGATTCAGGGGCTCACTGAAGCTGTGGGCAGGGAGGCTTTTTGTATGAGAGCTGAGTTCCCTGCAACTGAGCCTGCCAGGACTGGTCCACTTCCAGCCTCCGCAGGGTTGCCAAGGGCCTAGTTCTCAGTGGCCTCCCATGGAATTAGCGTTCAGCCTGGGTCTGGCTCTGCCCTTCCTAATGGTGGCAAAGGGATGGGATGTTGCTCAGAATCCCCCTCTCCTCCCCTGCTCTGCTAGGATACGAGTATTGTGACTAAAGGGTCAATTGCATCTTTCCTGGCAGAGTGCCACAATGGGACTCCTGGCAAACTAAATCTTCTGAAAATATGTAATGAGCAACCCCCTGACTGAGAGCTGCCTCCTGATTCCTGTGTTCATCTCTTGTAGGCTCCTTGGGTGCTGCTAGATCCTTGGGATTGTATTGCATCTACTGTTCCTGGTGGCAGCCCCTTGACTAGCCAAGGATGAGGACGGCAGAAGATTCCTCCGGGACGGTCCTGCACCGGCTCATCCAGGAGCAGCTGAGATACGGGAACCTCACCGAGAACCGCACGCTGCTGGCTATTCAGCAGCAGGCGCTGCGTGGAGGTGGGAGCATGGGCAGCCCTCGCTCCTCACTGGAGAGTCTCACCCAAGAAGAGAGTCAGATGGTCCAGCAGTCCACACGGCAGGAGCCCCAGGGCCAGGAGCATCACTGTGACCATGTTTACCTGGAGAATAACGTGTATCGGCTCTACCAGCCTCAGCACAAGGGCGAGGAGCTCCCCACCTATGAGGAGGCCAAAGCGCATTCCCAGTACTATGCCTCACAGCGAGGACAGCAGGCTGGGGTGCCCTGTCCAGGCACCCCTGCTGAGCCTGGCCAACAAAGGGCCTATGCCCCTGACAGCAGCAGCAAGCGCCAGGACGAGTCACTAAAGGAGCTGAAGCATGGGCATGTGAGGTCACTAAGTGAACGCCTCATGCAAATGTCGCTGGAGAGGAATGGAGCCAAGGCCCAGAACCACATGAGCTCCTCCCACAGTTATCCCCAGCTATCGAGGCACTTCCAGCTGTCAGCCCCAAGAGGGCAGCATGCCGAGGGGATGGAGCCACGGGGGCCCCCTCCAGAGTACCCCTACATCATCCCCCCCCAGGAGCCTGCAGTTGGTTACCTGGCAGATCCCCGGCACTGCTCCAGGGAAGGGCCAGGATTTCAGCACCCTGAAGTCAGGTAACCACAACATTTGTCTAGCCCCTCGCACTTCACAGAGGCGTAGCCAGTCCCTTCCTTCCTGGCATGCATTCAATTCCTGGGACTTCGACAGCCATGTGGGAAGGGGATTGGGTATGTTGATGCAACACCGCATGGCTCCCAGACAAGCTGTGGCTGGGGAGCCTCTATGGGTTTGGAATGCCAAGGCTGGTTGCATAAGCAGAGAAACCCGCATGTTGCAGAATAAGGAGATGAGCTGTGGGGATGCTACAATGTTCATCCCCTGGCTGCACGAATCCTTACTTTGCCTCAGATCAAGCTACCTTTTGCTGACTCTGGAAGTGCTGCCCTGATCTGTGGGCAGAAAAGGGTGCGGAAGGGGACTTGCAGTCTGACTTTTGAAGCTCATGGGCTATATTTGTCTCTGGAGTGGCTACTCCAGGGCTAAATTAGACCCATTGTTTTGCAGATGAAGTTGTCTTCACAGCCTCTTTCCCCTTGTGTTCTGAGTGGAATTTCTGGTTAATTGAGGAGTTGGAATTGAATCAGGAAATGGCTAAGTTTGGAAGGGAGAAAGGAAGCAGGCCCCACTATGTGGAAAACTACCAGTGCTGTCCCCAGAGGGAGTGCAGACTGAGGGCTGAGTAGAACCTGGACACTGGGAACTCGCCTTTCTGCACTGAGAGGAAGGTGAAAGTGATGAGTTCTTACCGAACATTCCCTGGGGGGACCCTGCTAAATACAAATCTGTGCCTAGCCACGTACCGCCCCCTTGATACTGGGCTTTGCGCTCGTCTACTTTGCAAATGCCAAAGCCCAGAGTCTGCCCCTAGCTTGCACCCAGTGCAATCCTAAGGGTGAATTGTGCTCTCCGTTACACTGGCAGTTGAGGTCCCTCTTCTCTTGGCTGCAGCATAGGGTTGGTAAGTGGAGTGTCAGTGCTGGGTGAAAAGTACCTATTCCTCTTCAGCAGATGCTCCAACTGCGCACAGAGCCTTGCTAGCATTATGACCTGTGTCATAACAGTGGAAGCCTTCATGGAGATCTGGTGTTATGGGTCCTAGCCACTTCAGGGCATCATGCATTCCGCTTTGCCTGGCAATTTGATCACATCATAAAGCGCTTTTTGGTTGCTTATAACAAGGGAAATACAGAGTAGCAGAGGAGAAACTAAACCCTGAGTGTTCCCCCTGGGTGTTCTCCCCCTTCACCACCCACCATTTCCCAGCTGCCCACTCTCCCGGTGTCTTCTCAGCTAGCTGCACAGTTGGGAAAGGTGGCGAGGCTGAGTAGCAGTGTGTGCTGTTGGGCAAGCCATAGTGAATGCTGACAGGAAGAGATAATATCTCTGACAGGAAGTGCTCTCTTTTGGAGGGAACAAAGAGGGGAGGGGGTGCAGGCAGAAAGGAAGACGTATTTACCAAATCACCTTCCAGGAATGCAGCCCCACATTTACAGCCAGCCCTCGCTCATGTGCAGCCATGGCGCCCTCTGGGAAGCACCTGACAGTCAGGCTCCCATAGGGTGGCCAAGCTGTCATTGGGGCTATGGTATCTTTGCCCTCTTAGCAGTTGCCTTAAAGATTTGTTAAAACAGAGGGTCCCTGTAACAGTGTTTGGTCTGCTTAGCACTCCTTTCCCACAAAGTACAGGACGTGTTTATTCATGGTATACTTTTAGTAAGGGACCACCTTGGGGCAGTGATGCCAATTCAGATATTTCTTAGGACAAGCTCTGGTCCCCACTCATTTCCCTTAGCCGGTGGTGAGTCTCCCCTCTGACCCACACGGTGCATGAGCCAATGCCAAAAGTTGTGATCTTGGCAGACTCCCCTGTTCTCCATTATTTGGCCCAGCCACCCCTGTGGCTGGACAGAAGGGTGGCCAGGTCAAATTTCAGTGGTGTTGTGACCAAGCTCTGCACTGCTCTGGCAGGAGCCATACTGATTAGTACAGGCTCACTGATAAAAAGTGGTCACTGCCACTGCCCCCAACCTCCCGCACCCCCACCCCGGTTCTGAGGTCTATGGAACTTTGAGCAGTGGAAAAACTTTGGGGTGGGGGGATGTCCCTCCCTTGTAATTGGCACCGCTGCTAAGGGGAATAGGCATTTCCTTTAACTTCCGGGAGCTTGATAAGAGAGGGGGCAGTTCTGTGGTGACATCTCACTACGCTTGGCTGTCTCTGATAAGTGTATTCTTATTGTGTTCTTAAGCACTGACGTGATGATGGGTGGTATAAAGTTTCTTTTTAAACATGGATTAGAAATAAAGGGTAAAATTTAAAAAAGGAGCTAGGTGACTAAGTCCCATTTTCAAAAGTGGCTTAGGCACTAAAAGCCACTGGTTCTTGAAATCAGTGGGAGTTAGGCATCTAGATGCTATTGAAAATCTCACTGGGCACTAATCTGCATCTTTAGGTGCCTAAATCCCTTTAAAATCTGGTCCTAGTGCCTAAATCGTTTTTGAAAACAGGACTTAGGCTCCTCAGTGATTTAAGTGCTTTTGAAAATTTTACATAAACTCTGACAGGCAAGTGAAGTGCAAGGGCACATCTTACCACATACTGTAGGTGAGATCTTCAAAAGCATTCAGCACTGACCTAAATCTGCTCCCATTGAAGTTGATGGCAGTTTTACCACTGATTTCAGTGAGAGCAGAGTTAGGCCGATGCTGAGTGGTTTTGAAATCGTATTCTGTAGCTGAGAAGTGGTGCTAATAATTGCCATGGTATCTATACTTTGAAAAACAGGCATGCCTTGATCTCTGTCTGAAAGGTGCATTGGGAGATTGTTAAAGATTGCCCTATGAACCTGATATTGTAAGGGTTCCATATATGCATGGCTGCATGCGCTACAGCCCTAAATGAGATGGTGCCACTCATCCCAGGGCAGAGAGGGGGGCCTCAAAGATTTCTGACATTCCCGGGTTACATTTTTCCCCTTAAGGTTCAAGTAAATATTTAAAATGGTGAGATGAAAACCTCCTCCCGGGAGCTCTGTCAACAGATGTATGATTTGTTTGTGTTACCATAGTGCCCATGAGCCCTGATTATGGTACCAGAACTCCAGGGCGCTAGGTGCTGTACAAACCCAGAACAAAAAGACAATCCCTGCCCCAGGGGTTCAAGGAGAGAGAAATAATGGTGTGAGGTCTGCTGGGGGTTGGATATTGCCAGAAGCCACTCAGTGGCGCACCATCCCAGCCACGCCCGTCACTCCATCTCTTATCCTTGATTTACAGTGTGTCCTGGCGGGCACAGAACAATGCTATTGAGTGTCTCTGTTGAATTTTTGTGACCTCTCTTAGGGTGATGCAGGCCCATATGCCCCAGGCTTTCCTGCCCCAGCAGGCTGCCCTGTGCCACGGCCCGCTGGGCTCCCTTACTCCAGTTGGGATGGAGGTTCTGATGACAGCCCAGGCCGCATCGGCCAGCAGTCACTTGGCCCAGATGGAGACGGTGCTGAGGGAGAATGAAAAGCTGCTGAGGGAGAGTGAGAAGCTCCAGAGGGAAAACGAAAAGCTGCGGCGAGAGCTTGAGAGCTGCAGTGAAAAAGCAAGCCGGATTCAGAAGGTAAATGTGTGGAGCCGGCATCCAACCAGTCTTTCCAGCCAAAGCACTAGGGCCCAGCTCCTCAAAGGTATGCAGGCCCCTAACTCCCATTGGATGCCTGTGAGCATCTGGGCCTTGGGGCAACGTACAGGCAGGCTCAGGACCCCGGCAGGGGGCAGGACTGCCAGGAGCAGTAGGTTTGCATGTCACCTCTCAACTTTGATTCCAACATGTCATTTGAAATGAGACTTGGATGCTTTCATTTCATTGGCTGCTTTTCGTCTGAGATGACACAGCCTGGCAGGCAGTCTGTCCAGGCCAGACTCGGTTTGTGTCCGGGAACTGTAGGATCGCTTTCTGCGAATGCTGAACAAGGAGCTTTATCTCAGTGTTAGCCCTGAAGTCACTCTGTCTGCTTCACTGCAGAGCTTCTCCCTAGAACCTCCACCAGCCCCCTCCTGCCTACCTCTGGGTGCCGGATTTAAAGAAACAGTGCACATGTCATTCCGCTTTTGTCGGGATTGAGGTGCATTGGCAGAGTTTTGGAGGAGGCGGCCAGGAACTGGACAGCGAGGTAATTACACAGGTCAGGATAGAAGAGTCTAGAGAGGGCTGTAGAGGAAGCTTGCTCAGTGCCTGCCTGTCCTTCACTTGCATTTGCACTACACCTCACTCGTTGTCAGCCGAGCTCCTCGTGTTCCTAGCTTCATTCTCTGGATGGGGTTTGGTTTTGTTTCTTGCCTAGAGAAAGAGCAGACAGCTGCTGAGAAATTTCATCCCCTTTCATACGTTTAATCTCTTCCCCCCGCCGTCCCTCTGAACAGCTGTGGCTCAGAAGCACACAGCACAACAGGTCCTCAGCCAAGGCAGTTGTTGGGTGGATAAAAAAGAGTCCATTCACCATCTCTGTTAACAGTTGGGCCCTCTCTGGCCATCCCTCCCCTTGGGGTCTGTGCTGGGCCGCCACAGAAAGCCCTTTGTGCAGAGGCATACAAGGGGAGGCCTGTTCCAGTCCAGCCCAGCCACAGCCACGGGGAAAGCCTCTCCCCTTAGAACAAACGGGCCATTGGGAGGGGCACGTGCCAGGCTTGCGGAGGTGGGGAGGCAGGGGCATGTGCTGGAGCTGGGGAGGAGGCCAGGAACCCGCTAGGCAGGATGGAGCAGCAGCGAGAGGAAGAGGGGAGAGAGATGATAGAACTTCTCCAGTATAGCTTGTTTCATAATCCAGTTAGATGCACGCCAGCTTGTATCGCCCATCAGGTTCATCGCAATAAGACAGACCCATGAGGGTCTCTGATCCCTTAGTGCAGTGGCTCTCAAACTTTTTTACTGGTGACCCCTTCCACATAGCAAGTCTCTGAGTGCGACCCTCCTTATAAATTAAAAACACCTTTTTATATATTTCAAACCATTATAAATGCTGGAGGCAAAGCGGGATTTGGGGTGGAGGCTGACAGCTCACGATCCCCCATGTAATAATCTGGCAACCCCCTGAGGGGTCCCGACCCCCAGTTTGAGAACCCCTGCCTTAGTGTTACAGACATAAGGGCCTGACCTTTGCACATGGCCAAAGGGAAGGGCACACTAAGGAGCCAGTGCCAGCCAGGAATAGGAGGGACTGTGTACCAAGAAACTTTATCAGAGTGATTCAACCCCCTGTGGCACACCTTTCACTCTCATGCAGCCATCCCATCACTGAAAACGGAAGGGTTGGTCCTGCCAGAGAAGCTGCTCCAAGAGGGCAACCTCAGGGGGTGGAGGGACAGCAGAGCTATCTCCTTACCTGGGAAGGGGTGGAACATCCAAGGGTCCCAGGAAGGAAAAGGCAAGTGCTTCTCTGTGGGAAGCTGGGGAAGGAGGAGAAACTTGGGGAGTTTTATCACTGAAGATGACTGGTGCCTTCTAAAAAGAACGGGCTTAAATTAAACCCAGGCCCAAAGTCTCCAAAGGGCATGGTGTCGTTGCAGTGGGCTTATAATAAATGGGCCTTTCGAGTGGCTGCTCAGAAGGCAGATGGGAAAGCAGCACTGCAAGGTGGGTACAGTTATGCAAATCATTGTGTAATCTAGTAGTGCCCTGCAAAGCCGTTTGTAGGTGGCGCCTGCTGGCGTGGGGTTGTTTGCCGTTTTAGTGAGGTGGCGAGAAAGTGTATGTTGTTCTCCTATTGGTGTGTAATGCTCCCGGACTAAGAGCGCTGGCGTGGGGCAGGCAAGTACAGGTGGGCAGTGAGCAAGCTTCTTCTTTGCACCTCAGTCCTGACCTGTAAGGCTCCTGCCATTCATTCCAGTGCTTAGACCTTGGCTGAGCAGGGCCCACGAGTCGTGTGTTGTGCACGAGTAAGGAGCAGGATGAGACCACCAGACTCATGTCACTAGTCTCCTAGTGTGGGATTAAACCCAGCCCTTTACTGGTGACAGACACCGGAGCCATGTTGGTTTGTGGTGTTGCTTGCCATCCAGCCATCTTCTCCTCTGGTCTTTTCCCCATCCCAAGAATGTTTAACTTCAGCCTGTTGTTTCTTCCCCCCCACAGCTGGAAACAGAGATTCAGCGAATCTCCGAGGACTACGAAAACCTGATGAAGGCATCTTCCAAGCGAGAGGCATTGGAGAAAACCATGAGGAACAAGAAGGATGGGGAGATGCGGCGGCTTCAGGATTTCAACTGGGATCTGAAAGGTAAGAAACTCTGGACAGCACTAGATGGGCTAGGGAGAGTGGAAAGGGCAATTCTTGGGTGCACTCCTTTTTTGGGCTGTGTCGCTCATTTCGAGAGAAGATAATTGTTATTAGAAACATGCTGTGCCTTGGGCTGAGCCTCCCCACATTGGTGCTCCCTCCATAAGCCACTCGAGCAGTTGTCCATCTCCACTATGTAGGCCCTTGTTCAGTGCAGACACTTGGCCTTATGTTGTCGAACAAGGGGGAGTCACAAACTTTGTGACTCCCCCTTATTGGTCCCAGTCTTGTGACCCTCATCTCTGGTGACAGATCCCCAACAAACTGTCTCCTGACGTGTTTCCTGGTACATCAGGAGCATTTTAGGGAGATTAGGTTTCAAGATGGGTGTCTAATACCACCGGTGTCTTCCAAGAACCAGGCTGTTCCCAGTCAATTAAATTCTAAAAATTCTATCTCTGTATATTTAATCTGAAACAGAACGGTTGGAATCTGCAAACAAACAGCTGGCCAGCAAGCAGCAGGAGAACCCAGAAGGCAGCCAGGGCACCGTGGCGAAACTGCTTGCACAAAGTAAGTTCTGGGGGAATGCTTGGTCACAGTGGAGGTGCTGTGCAGAGCTGTGCAGTTGTGCCTGCGTGGCTCTCTGCACAGCCAGCCCTGCTGCGCATTGCCCTGTCACTCTGTGGCCTGGTGGACCAGAGTGGGTTGGCGTGCTTTCGGGGTGGGTGTGTTGGGAGGGAGAGAGGAAGGAAGGGTAAGGTCCCTTTAAGATAGGAGAGGAGGTGGATCCTCTCTTGGAAGCTTTTGCCATTCCCCAGGGAGAGCTAAGCTGTTCTTGGCACTCAAACCAGAGTCATTAATCATAGCAGCCATCAGTGTGACCTGGATTCTTTGCATTCCAGCGGCTGTTCTGGCTGTTCCAGCACTCAGTCAGCACTCCCGCCACTCTGAATCCCAGACCTAGGCTAGAGCCCTTTTTCTCTTTCGCATTGGATATTTTTTTTTTTAAGGAGAAAACGTTTTTGCCAGAGGCTGGGAATGGGCCTGACAGTCTCTTCCTGGCTTGATTCCACTTCCATGGCTGGCAGCAAAATGCCCGTGAAAACCCAAGGGAGGGGAAAAGGGGCACAGCCCAAGGCTGTCATTGTTCCCACCTGCCTTCCCTTCCCCGAAAGTTGCTGAGCCCCGGTGCTTAGGCCTTGTCCATCCGGGGAAGTTGTACTGGTGGAACGGAGCCGGTTCAGGAGGGGAGTTTGTGCAGCCCCGGGGATGGACTCTTTTCCTGCGGGCGGGGACAGGGATTGATTCCTTTGGTCGGGAAGGAATTGCTCGCATTGCACTACCCTGGGTTCTAGGCCTGTTTTCTCATGTGGACACGGCCTTCGTCAAAGGTGGCATTAATATGTCTTTAACCACGGCTCTTTCCCTTGGACTTCTGAGCGGTCGCCTCTTAATGCCCATGGAGAAGCTGGCTCCTTTGGGAGATTGCGGGCCAGTCCTCCACTGGGCTGAATGGGTGAAAGTCCATTGGAGTCAGTGGAGTGGCCCCCATTTGGATCAGGATTTGTCTGAGTTTGCCGGGGGTCAGGCTGAAGGGAGCGTGGTGTGCAGCTTTGGAGCACCAGCCCACAGGTTTTTAAACAAGGAAGCCCGTGCAAGGAGCCAGCTGCGTAGTGGGTGGCAGGTCACATGATGCAGCTGCCATGCCTTTCAGTATAGTTGACAGACTAACTGGGGAGGAGAGACCCTGGGACTGGACTAGCGATGGTGTTACAAGGCAGGAGAGGGCTGCCTTGCAGAGCCATGTGGAATAGCCGAGGTGTTACATTGGCAGAGCTATATGGGGCCTAGGGCTGCAACAGCAGGAGTGGTAGAGTAGGACTAAGATGCATTGTGAAAACTGAGCCTTAAGGAATTTTCTTCTTTCTTACCCGTAACCATAGCAGCTGATTCCCTGGCAGTGGGCCAGTGTGGCCCCACATATAGCATGTGGCACTAATGGTACTACCCTTCCCCCCCCCCCCCCCCCCCCCCCATACACCTCCAGTGAATAGACACTGGCAGCACAGACATCTCGGTGTGAGAGAGACTGGGAGCCTGTTAGCGTCAGCGGGGTGGAACAAGCGACTCCTCCCTGGGCAGATATTTTCAGAACAGATATTTAGATTTTCTCATGGCAATTGCCCATCACATCTGATGCCAGAATCCTAATGCAATAGCTCTGAGCCGGAGTCCCTCCGATATGCACTGGAATGAAATGACTGCAGCTGGGAATGTTCTGAGCAGATGGAGCAGCTACAACCATCAGCTAATGTATTTGCTCCTTGTGCTGTTTCCAGGCTACGAGCACCAGCAGGAGAAAGAGAAGCTGGAACGAGAGATTTCGCGGCTGCGCAGCGCCAATGAGGACCAGCGCCGGCGGGCGGAACTGCTGGAGCAGGCACTGAGCAACGCCCAGACACGGGCAGCTAAGACCGAGGACGAGCTGAGGAGGAAGCGGGCGTACGTGGAGAAGGTGGAGAGGCTGCAGCAGGCCCTGGGCCAGCTCCAGGCCGCCTGCGAAAAGCGTGAGCAGCTGGAACTGCGTCTCCGCACCCGCCTGGAACAGGAGCTGAAGATGCTGCGGGCTCAGCAGGTGAGGAGTTCATGGAACCAGGGTCGAGGCCAGCAGCAAAGCAGGGCTAGTGCGACAGTTGCTCAAAACACTGGTGGCACCAGTCCCCTTGCGGCACGAGCACTGCCAGCTGTGGCGCTGCAATTGGGGGCAGGTTACACGGAAGGGCTAGTGCAGGCAAGGCCCAGATGTACCAGACTCCTGAGGATGGGGCACAGCATAATGGTTAGAGAGCGGTCCAATCCAAGTATCCCCAGACTTTGGAGAAACCTGGATCTGTGCAGGTTGGGCCCATCTCTGATCATTGCACTCAAGGGACCTTTCTCTTCATGATTCAGTCTCATGCTGTGTGTCATTTTTCCTATGTCAATACAGAGACAGGTGGGAGCCCCAACCGGAGGATCCCCGGAGCTGAGTGCCCACATGCTGGCCGAACAGTTGAGAGAGAAGGAAGAAAAGATCCTAGCCCTGGAGGCGGACATGACCAAGTGGGAGCAGAAGTATCTGGAGGAATGCACCATGAGGCAGTTTGCCATGGACGCAGCCGCCACCGCTGCTGCGCAGCGGGACACGACTATCATCAACCACTCCCCGCATCACTCCCCCAATAACAGCTTTGACGAGGATCTCCTCTTGGCCAATCACAAGCACCAGGAGATGGAGAACAGGTAGGTCCTGCATGTGGCTTCACAGGGCATGTTTTTTGTTGGCCTTCCATTATCATCAGTCTTGGGATTTTTATGTCGCTCGCGTCATTGAGCATTTGGAAACTGGCTTCCCAGTTGGCCAACCAGCAGCCATGGGAAATAGGTGTCCTTGCCATGTGCATTGACGGAGCGAAGTTTCCTTGGCCGTGATGCTAAGGGAACACCGCATGATGAAGGAGTTGTTGAAGCGTCACACACCCTCTGGAATAAAATCGCCAGCATCTCTCTCACTTTGTGCCTTGCTCTCGCGTACTCCAGGTTAAAAGCACTTCATGCCCAAATATTGGAGAAGGATGCAGTCATCAAAATTCTGCAGCAGCGCTCGCGGAAGGATCCCAGCAAGACTCTGCAGGGCTCCCTTCGGCCGGCCAAGTCTGTGCCGTCCATCTTTGCTGCCTCGGGGGCCCAGAATTGGCAGGGGACCGCCCACGGTGAACAGTTGGTCGAGGGCCCTTCCAGAGGGAGTCCAGGTAAGAGGAGTCTCACCTGTGGGGAGGGAGTCACAGGCTACTTGCCCCTTCAGTTAGCATTAAAGCCCTGCTTGAAAGCTCCCTTTGCTGTGTTTCCTCCAACGCTTCCATCCTTTGGCATTCAGCTGCACTGAGCTGGGGTGTTTCCTGGTGGGAGGGGGCTCTCCCTGACACGCACCCTGATCGCAATGGCCATCAGAGAGAGCCTTGGAACACAGCACAGAAATGGAGCTCTCTGATTGTCTGCCAGTCAGGTCAGGCCTGGCTCACTAAAAGCCAGTAAGAGCCCAGAGCCAATCAAGTTTGCCTCAGTATTTAAAATCTAAAGGTGGTTGCTCCTCTCCCTCCAGCAGGCAAAGTCCCAGTGGAGGAAACGCCCAGCCCATTTCCTTGCGGCCCTCTCGCCTTCCACTCCAAACGTGGCAGCAAAGATGGGAGCACCCAGACAGATGGCTTGCCTGAGAGCAGCCTCGGCAGTCCGGACGAGGGGCCTGGCGCCCAGCTCGACAGCAGCCCAGCGCACTCCGTGGGTAAGTCCTGCCTGCCCTGCTGCCCTGGCAAATACATGCTTGCGGAATCCCTGCGAGGCTGTGCCCAGGGTGAACCCAGAGACCTCCCTTCCCACTGCCAGGGGTGCCGGACAAGCCCTGCATAGCTGAGGAGTGAGCAAGGAGCTGGTTACTCCACCCTGGCTGCCAGGGCTCAGCCTCCTGCCAGAGTGACTAATCCTGAGTGCGAGATGCACAGTGGGGATGAAATACTGCAGGGCTAGGTGGGGCGCAGACCAGGAAAGAGTGTGGGAAAGACCAGAGGAAAGAGAAGAAGGAAGGGAGAGGAAAGAGAGTGTCTTGAAAGTTTTCTCTCTTACTGATTCCTTTGGGCTTTGATCTGGGCCTGCAGATCTGAACTAAAGCCCAGCTTATCAGCACGCCACAGGCTAGCACACCCGCCCTGACCTTCGGTGGGAGAATCCGGTTTTTCTGCTAATGGTTTTAGAGTCAGGAGGGAGGAATCGGAGAGGCTCCCTCTCCTCTCCCCCCTCCCCCCCCCAAGCTAATTGTGCAGCATTCTGCCTGGGCTTTACCATCTGTAGAGAAAACCACAAACACGAGAAGAATCCCCCTGCTCCTCCCTCCACCCTCTGCCCCAGGCCCTGCAGCCAGTGGAAAGCCAGGAGCCAAGCACTCTCCCCTTGACAGTTCGAGGGGGTGGGGTTCGAGTGAGTGCAGGGAGCTGGGTTGGCTCTGACATGCCATTTGGTTTGCATTAACCGCTGGTGATGGTTGTCCCCATAGGGTGTGTGCATGGGCCCCATCAGAGAGGCTGATGGGAGAGGGCTAGGGTTATACAAGTGATTAGTGATTTGGGGAGCCCAGCTGAAGACACCTTAAAAGGGCCTGATTCTCAGAGGGTGGGTGCTCAGTGCTGTCTGAAACAAGGTGGGCCCCCAAAATCACTTGTCATGTTTTAGGGGCTGGGCCCAAGCTGTCTTATTTATTCATTATGGATTCACTTAAGTCTAATGACCCTGTTGTAAATGTTTGCATTTCCGTGGGGCGCATCGGGGCTCCGTTGTGCTAGGTGCTGCACAGACATAAAAGCAGGAGCCAGTCCCAGCTAGAGAGAGTTCACAATCTAAAGGTGGTTTGTTTCCTTGCAGAGACCATGTCTGCTGCCAGGACCATCAGCTTGTCAGACATGGTGGAAATTCTGATCTGAGGAAGGGCAGCTGCCCACCATCCTATCTGTCCCTGCACGCTGGCCTGGTCAGAGGAGAGATCTGCTGGGGAAAGTGCTGATTCAGGAGTCGTTCTGTTATCGGGAGCCTGGCTGGGCTTGTGGCATGGAGAGTTCCTGGACAAAAGGAGTTTGGGGGCAAGACTGCAGGAGAGCATGCAGCAGAACCACACAGCGAGGGCTGGGAGGGAAGCTGCCGCTGCGGTTTGCATCCATCAGCTGCCATTTATCTCACCCGCTTTCCATCACAGCAGAGCTCATTTGCTACCTGCTCCATCCACCCCATTGGACCAGCCCTTGTGTAATGTGCCTGTGCTTAGGAAGGACTGTCTCAAGTTCCCTTTGCCGCTGATATGTCGCAGGAAACAAGGAAGGAGGGTCCGAAAGTGAAGAGGCATGGAGCTCTCCCCTGCTCTCCATCTGTGACCTGGAGGAGGGCGGCATGCTGTGCATTGCTAGAAACTGATCCTGGAAGGACTGGCCTGCCTGTTTCATTGGACCCTCTGTTGGTACCCGCTCTCCAAGGTCAAGCTGCCAGGAGTAGCTCTTGTATTGTGCTGGTGTGGCCAGAACTCCTGCCCCTCCCTGTGCCTCCCAACCCCCCTTTCCCCTCCTGTTGAGAGGACTGGAAATGCTTTGGGTGAGGGTGATTTTGAGTAGCCAGCTGGTGCCCAGTGGCTGGTCCCCAGAGGCACTTCTCCTGGGGAGGCTGCAGTGCTGGCAGGCTGCAGCCCATCAGGGTAGGTGAGGAGGTGAGGGAGGGGACAGGCAGGCTCTGTAAATAACTCCGTTTTGTAAACAAAAGCAAACCCTGTATTATTTCAAATTCCTCCCTGCCATGGCCTTTGTCCCTCCTGCCCCCTTTCTTGCTCTCTGTGGAACCTTTCTCGCCATCTCTCCTTTGGCTCTCTAGTCCTGTGCTTGTTCTCTTTCTCCATTTCATATCCTGTTTGTCTCCAGAGTTAAATATCCCTCATTGGCGTCCATCAGATTCCATTTCCTTTTGGGCACTTTCCCATGATTCCTCCAACTGGAATTTCCCTTCTGTTTGTTTCAATACCAGCCGCGTGCCAAATGTTGGGTGGCTGGGTATGTGTTTGAGCTCCTGGGCTGCTCTCGGTTGGGGAAGGGGCAGATCCTCAGATGATGATGTAAATCAGAATAGCGCCATCAAATCAGAAGAGCTAAGTGAGGCTGCCCGAGCGCCGGACTCTGACTCTCATGACTTATATGCACCATTCATAGCCATGTGCAAACACAATGTTTGAGAGGGTAAAGGATTGCAGGATGGGAGCCTTTATAAATACCAGAAGCTGTGTTTTATGTGTCAGCTGAAGGGAGCTTGTGTTTATGCAAAAAAATAAACAAGGGAGTGAGGGGAATGAAACTGGAGATGAAAAAAACACTCCCAACGTGAAACAAGCATGTCTGATTTTGTTGTGGAGGAGTTGATTTCCCCCATCCCTGGAACTGCACCAAGATATATTCACTCACTTATTCACAGTTCTCATACACCCCCTTGTCTACTGACAGCTGGCTTTTGACAGTAGCCAATTCTGATTTTAATTAAGAGTTTCTCAATCCACTGAACTCCAATGCTTTCTTCACTTGGCCTTCATATATAAATATCTGTGCATTTGCTGGACAACTGCATTTTTTATTTTCTCTCCCAGACATATAAAAAATGTGTTTGGTTCTGGTGCATTGTTTACAAAGTGCAAAACAAAACAAAAACTATGAAAGAGAAAAAAACAACTTAATATATTTTATATTAATATTGGTATTTCTTTAAGTATTTTTTTTGTGCTGTGAACTTTTTTCTGCCAAAGACAATGAGGTTTTTTTGTTTGTGTGTTTTAAGTTATCTTTAAGTATTTAAATGTAAACCTGGCTGTTTTGTTATGCTGCCCTATACCGAGATTGCTGTAGCATTCCACTTGGTATAACAATATTTTAATAAAAAAATAAATATTGACGAAGTGGTAGTGTGTGTGTCTCTAAGATAGTGGGAAATGGATCTTGAGAAATCTGAATCCCTATGCACTCATTAAAAAAAGGATATATGTTTTTCCCCACCAACTTCTCCCAATTATCAGAATCTTATGTATTTTTTGGAAGTGTAATAGGTACAGCCTTTTTAGACAGAAAGGTGGCACTGTCAGTTTCAAGTAATGAAACTGACACTCATGAGAATGTCCCTTTAAGAGACAACTGATGTCTGTTCAAGCAACTGAAGACTAACCTCCACAGTGGAGGGACAACATTAAGGCATTTAGGCTTCTCCATACTCAACGAGAAAACCAACAACCTGAATATCATTGATTTTTAGATGAGAGGGAAACAACAATGCATGAAAGAAAAAGAAGAAAATGTGAGAGAACACAGTGTGTATGTATCTTCTGTAACATGCATGAATTCTGCCCCACTAAACAGCAACTGCCCCCACAAACAGGTAGCCATGTTGGAATGTTAGAGGTACGGGGTAGGGAAAACATACATATGCTGCAGCTGGAAGGCCCAGCATGAACCTTTTCCCTACCCCGCAATCTTTGTTTTGGCTTACAAGCCTGGGTACCTCCTGGTCTGTCTGAAGTCCATTGAGGTTTTTTGGGAGCTGGCCCATGAGAGCACAGGCCCTCCTCTCTACCTGCTAGTTGCATTTGTGTGAGCAGGCAGGGAACTAAAAGAAACTTGTAACTAACACAAACCCCTGCTTTCCAAGGCCCCCATTCAGGACAGCATTTAAACATGAGTAATCCCATTGAAGTCAATAGGACTACTCACATGCTTACAGTTGTGCACCTGTTTAATCGTCTTCATGAATCTGGGCCTGATTGCTTCAGCACATAGGATTCTTCTACAGTGTATCTAAATGGCCTGCCTTGCAGGTATGGAGTGCTTGCCCAGAGGTCTGATTGCAAAGATACCCAGCATGGGCTGTTGGAGGTTCTCCCACCAAACTAGTTGGATGATATCCTTGTTGCAGCTCGTATTTGGGGGCAAGGCAGGGACTGGCTGGTTTTCATTCTCAGCTTTGGGGGAGGGAAGGGGAAATATTTAAAAATACCATTTTTTTTCCAGGGATGATAAATAACAAAACCGTGGGGCCTGTCCATAAGCGAGGGATGGTGACAAAACTTGGGAGGAGAAAGATATTGTAACTGACTAGCTGCCCATTAAATCCCTGATTTGGGGATATAGTCTGTTTGTTTCATTTCACGGCATGGGCTGGTGGCCCTGGAGCACTGGCCCCCTTTACCTGGGGCCAGCCCACCTGCAAGCAATGAACTGCTCAGGTGGCTGGTTGGGAGCTGACTCTTGAGCACCTGGGCTGGGATGAAAGGGAAGCTGCTCCTAACAAGAGGAGTCTCTTAGGGAGAGGTGCCCCAGGGAACAGAGCAGGGGAACTCCTAGTGGGGGAAAGAGAGACTCTGGGAGGGAAATCCCGGCTAGCTGCAGGAGGCGCAGCCTGCAAGGCGGTGTGTGCAGCCAGGAGAAGAGCTGCAGTCAGCAGGAAGGCCCTCGCTCTGGCGAAGGACCCAAAGTTGGGAGTGCATTGCAGGTAAAGGGCGGGGCATGGGACAGATGCACTCAGATAGATGGAGCCTGCACCCCGTTAAGCAGCCTGGATGAAGGACTTCCTTATGTTTCTGTGAACTTCCTGTTGCTAAATTAGCCCCTCAGCCCAGGGGGGTGGTGAGGATGCTGTTTGATACATAAAAGGCTTGGGGAATTTATTCACCCCTCCATTGGGGAAATCAAGGCAGAGTGAACCTGTAGTGCTGCACCTGGCTTGAAGGGGATGCATGGGGATGGCACATGCCTTTCACAGTGGTGTTAGAAGCACGAGCTCCTTATGCATCAAGCTGGGAATATGAAGTAGGGGTATGTCTACACTATGAAATTAGGTTGATTTTATAGAAGTTGATTTTTAGAAATCGATTTGATACAGTCGATTGCGTATGTCCACACTAAGCGCATTAAGTCGGCGGAGTGCGTCCTCACTACCGTGGCTAGCATCGACTTACGGAGTGGTGCACTGTGGGTAACTATCCCACAGTTCCTGCAGTCTCGGCCGCCCATTGGAATTCTGGGTTAAGCTCCCAATGCCTGATGGGGCAAAAAACATTGTTGTGGGTGGTTTTGGGTACATGTCGTCAGTCGCCCCTCCCTCTGTGAAAGCAATGGCAGACAGTCGTTTCGTGCCAGACACCAGGGCGTTTAGAAGAGTACAAGAAGACGTGCTGCACATCAGAGAGGCTTTGAAAACCAGTTTCATGACTATCCAGGTTTTGGCGTGACAGTTGTGTGTGTTTCTCCTTGATGCAAACCCGCCCTCTTTGTTGATTTTAATTCCCTGTAAACCAACCACCCTCCCCGCTTAAAAATAAAGTAACTATTGTTTAGAAACTATGCATTCTTTCTTTATTAATTAAAAAAAAAAAAGAGAGAGAGATAACGGACAAGGTAGCCTGGATGCTGGGAAGGACAAGGCCACATTGCTTATTGTAGCCACACTAAAAATCAAACTGTTTGAATGACAGCCTTCTGTTGCTTGGGCCATCCTCTGCAGTGGAGTGGCTGGGTGCCCGGAGCCTCCCCCGCGTTCTTGGGCATCTGGGTGAGGAGGCTATGGAACATGGGGAGGAAGGTAGGTGGTTATACAGTGGATGCAGCGGGGGGGTCTGTGCTCTTGTGGCTTTCCTGCAGCTCCAACAGACGCTTCATCATGTCCGTTTGCTCCCCCATTACCCTCAGCATTGCATCCTGCCTCCGCTCTTCAAGCTCACTTAATTCTTTCCTGGCCTCTGCTACTGAATGCCTCCATGCATTAAGCTGTGCCCTATCAGTGTGGGAGGACTGCATGAGCTTGGAAAACATGTCATCTCAAGTGCATTTTTTTCGCCTTCTAATCTGCGATAACCTCAGGGACGGAGATGATAGGGGGAGCGTAGAAACATTCTACGCTCTACGATTTGGGGGCGACTGCATGGTCACCTGTGCTGCTGAGTTCGACACGCTGACCAAACAGGAAATGAAATTCAAAAGTTCCCGGGGCTTTCCCTGTGTGCCTGGTTAGTGCATCAGAGTTCAAAGTGCTGTCCAGAGCAGTCACAATGGAGCACTCTGGGATAGTTCCCAGAGGCCAATACTGTCAATTTGCATCCGCACTACCCCAAATTTGACCCAGCAAAGTCGATTTTAGCGCTTCTCCCCTCACCGGGGAGGAGTAAAGAAGTCAATTTTAAGAGCCTTTAGGTCGAAGGAATGGGGTTGGTTGTGTGGACGCATTCATTTTTAAATCGACCTAAAGCAGCTAAATTCGACCTAACCCCGTACTGTAGACCAGGCCTAGGAAACCTCCTTTCCGTAGGGGAATTATAGCTGAAATATTCCTCCCTCCGCAAGCCTCACACCTATGCTGAGAAAATTTCCCACTAATTGTGTGTGTGTTGGACTGGGATTTGCAGAGGGATTTAAGGGAGTGAGGTGTCCAACTGTCCTGGGATTTGAAAGTGGTTTGGATACCTAACTCCTTTGAAAACCTCATCTGCGATGCCCTGATAAGACGCTTGGGCTATAACTGTCTAAACCACCTGAAAGGTACATCTGTACTGGGATTAAAACCCCACAGCATGGAGTCTCAGAGCCTGGGGCGGCTGGTATGGGCTCACGAGGCTTGGGATGCAGCTCTAAAAATTGTGGTGTAGACATTCTGGCTCGAACTGGCGCTCTGGTTCTGAAGCCCTCCCCCCATGCAGGGTCTCAGAGCCCATCCTCCAGCCCAAGCCTACTCATCTATGCTGCAATTGTACAGCACCACAGCCTAAGCCCTGTGACCCCAAGCCAGGGTCTGAGACTCTGTGCTGCAGATTTTTTATTGCAATGTAGACAT